GCAAACAAAATCCTAAAATCTCCACAAACACAAGCCTACAATACCGAGAATCAAATTACCACAATGTGGGGGAGGAACCACACAAACTCACTGGGAAAGGGGTATCTCTTAAGAGTGCCCACTTTCCTTGACACAACCCAACATACAACACTTCAGCATCTACCCACATCAGCTTATCAGCCTCTTCTGGTCCTCACACACTCTGGACACAATCAAAATAACAGCACACAGTAAAATTCCAGGGACCAAGTCCAAACTGCGGGGGCAGAAGAATCCCCTGAGTTCATCTAGCCACGGTTAAAATGTGCACAATCTACACAAATCACACATCACCACCTTTAAACACAATAAATTAATAAATGTCCTCACCCACGTTTCTCCTCTTGTTCCACTACTCCACGGGGTGTTCTTGCCCTCACAGCCTGCCCCAGCCGGCGCTCCGGGCCTCACCTGGCTGCTTCAGACATGGGTAGAACTGCCCCCGCATGCCGTGGGTACACTCACTCACTCACTCGATCGCTTTTATACACCACACACTCACACAATTACAAACACGCTAACATTAACCACACAACGCATTAGCCATACAATGTCAGGACACCACAAGCACACAAAGTTCGGTTCACTCGGCTCACCCCAGAGTCGCTAGCGGCCGCTCTATTGAACAATGAACCCGTTCCCAGTCACGCTATCAACCAGGAACCAGTGCCACTGACCGTGCTCCTGGTCGATGGCTGCCTGCAAGCACAGGGACGAGGCTGTGCACTCAGATGTCTCTGAGTGACTTATCAGCAGCCCTATCTCCCCTGGGCCCTTTGACAGACATACCGTGTATCTGCACAGCAGCAGGTCATTGTCTTTATCTGCAGGAGGCAAGCCGAGATGGAGCAGAGCTCCTCCAGGAAAATCCCAGGGAGCGCCCAGGAGTCCGTCCTCCCTTCCACCCCTGTGAGGACAGTCAATCGCCTGGCTGGCTCGCCAAAATGATTAGTGGAAAAAAAAGGGGAAACTGCACAATTTTGTAAAAAGTCGTAAAGCCGGTATGTTTAGCGCTGGACACATGTGGGAATTGTTCCCCCAAAGGACACACGCACCCCTGGGTATTCCCCTTTGCTTATACATATGCATATTGTCTCATTCATAATCATTTTACTGATTTCACGTTACAGGTTGCAATTAGTTTTTATCACTCCTTGCCCTTTGCGCAGAGAGCTCTCTGGACAGCCTCAGCCTTTGCCCCCAACAAAGGGGCCTCCGTTTATCTTGGGAATTTGAATTCCTTCTCTTGGTCGAGGCCATTCTGTGAGCACAAGATTTTTTCTTTGTTTTTTTTCCTCTCTTGTGAGAACAGGGAGTGTTAAGCACAGATAAACAAGTTACAGGCTCAGAACAGCACTTTTCACCTAAATCCAAAAATGCATTTCTATCCTGTTAAATTTCTACTTTGTCTCACCCATCCAAGGAATTATATGCTCTGACTCCATGATTTTAAAGGCTGAACAGATGCTTTATTCTATACTATATTATACTACATTACACTATTGCTATACTAAATCTATACTAAATTACATACTAAAAAAAACCCTCTGACCCTTTCCAGACAGTCACCACCCAGCTTTGACCTAATTGGTCAATCAGTCCAAACAACCATCACCAGTGTCCAATTAACAAATCACTCTGGGTAAACAATCTCCATAACACATTCCACATGTGCCAAACAACAGGTGCAGCAAGTGAGATAAGAATTGTTTTCTTACTTTCTGAGCTTTCTCAGCTTTTCCACAGCTTCCCAGGAAAAATCCTGTGAGAGAGAATTATGTCTCTATTCAAAGAAATGTGAATACCACAGGGATTTGTCCTCCCTGGTCTCCATCTGCAGCTCAGTGCCTGGGGTAAGGAAAGAAAAGGAGAGGAAGGAATGAGGAAGGAAGGACAGAAAGAGAAGAGGAAGGAGCTGTGGACAGGGAGAGGATGGGATTTGCCTGTGTGCTAGAGGGAAGGGGAAGAGATCCCACCAGTTCATCCCTGGCAGGATGGTGTCAGCAGTGGGGCTGTCCTGCATCCAGGGGCAATACTGGGCTGAGACACAGAGCAGAGGAGGGGGGGAAAGGGGCACTGACTTCCTCCTCACCTGCTTCAGTGTCCCAGGCCATCTTCCTTTTCCTGGCAGCCTCCTCCAGCTCCATCCAGACAAAGTTTGGGATTGACAAATCCTGGCTTGGGGGAAAAACAATGGGTGAGCCCTTGGTCCTGCTGCCCAAGTACAGCTCCAGAAGTAACAGCCCTGTTCACAGTCAGGCAGGCCCAGACCCTGCTCATCTCCAGCCTCCCCCACCCCTCCAGGCTGCCAGAATTGGCCTTTGCTGCTCTCCCCACTCTGATGCCAATGTCCCCCCAGAACTGGTACCACCTCCCCAGCCAGTTTGCCACAGGAACCCTCCACAAATCTCCAAAGGGGCATCTGCGTCTCACCCTTGGGGACCTGCAAGATCCAAACATCCCCTCCCCAGAAACAAACCCTTCCAGAGATTTCCCGATGGATTTGGGGTCAGTTCCCCCTCCCTGCTCACCTGTGGGATCTGGGGAATCGATGCTGCCAGGGCCAGGGGAGCTGCAGACTCAGTGGGCAGGTGGGAAAAGAGTGGTTCTGCTGGGGCTCCTCCTCTTGCTCCTCCTGTTCCTGTTCCTCCTTTCCTCCATCCTCCATCCTCCTCCTCTCCCTCCTCTTCCTATTGCTCTTCCTTCCCTGCCCATTCCAGATCCCACCTCTCCCCCATGGCTGCAGCACCACCAGCATTTGGGTGGAGGGAACCCCCCATGAACCCCCCAGGGATGGGCAGGGGGCTTGGGGACCCACCCAGTGCGGATCCATTCCCCCCCTGAGCCCCAGGGAATCACTCCAGGAATCAAATGATGGGGACACAAAGGGATCCCCATGGAACCGCTCTTTTTCTGTTCCATCCCCACCTTTCCCTCCCCATACCCGTCATTCCTCCAACACAAAGACCCCTCCCAAGTCAGTTTGGGGGTGCCATCCTCTCGCGCTCTGAATCCTCTTTTCCCCTGCTCTTCCACCCCTTCCCCATTGTGCCCCCAGCCCCAGCCCTCACCCCTGTTCTTGGTTTTGGGGGATGCAGGCCCCTCCTGCTCAGTCTGGAGGGTCACATTCCCCCTTTCCCTCAATTCTGGCAGCTCCTGGCTGCTTTTTCCTGGGAGGAATCCCTCAGTTTTGGGACTTTTGGGGTTTAGCTTATAAGTGTGACAGCTCTCTCTGGCTTTCCCCTCCCTGTTGTGGCCCCTCAGCTGCCCCCGACACCCTGGGGGTGCTGGGATTTCCCTCCTGGGGACAAGGATGTTCATCCCCTTCCAGAAGCCCAATGCCTGGCTGGGGCTCCAGGTCAGGGGGTCCTTGAGCAGCTGCCCCAGAACCTCCCCCAGGGTCTCCCAGCACAGCTGGAGCTGCTCAGCCTGGGGTCCCCAAAGGCCTCAGCAAGCCCCAAGTCCCTCCCAGGAACCCTCAACCCCCTCAAACCCAGCATCCCCCACATCCCCTGCAAGTTCCCCCCATGGCACCAGCCGTGGCCATGTCCCCACATGTCACTGCCCATGTCCCACCATGTCCTCACCCATGGCTCTCTCCCCACCATGTTTCCATCCCTGTCATTGTCCCCCACATCTCCATCCATGCCCATGTCCCTGTCCCCACAAATGGCCCCTTCTCTGTTAATATCCATGCATCCCCAAGTCTCTCTCCATTTGTCCATGTGTCCTACCATGACCACACCCAAGTCTTAGTTCAATGTCTATTTTTACCTCAATATTGGATATTTTAAAGGGATAAAGAGAAATTAAAACAAAATTGAGGCATAAGAAAGGGATTTCCTTGTCCATACCAGCTGAGGATCCACAGCTTAGGTGGAAGGGAAGAACCTTTTTTGGTGGAATTTCTATCCCACTGTCTCTAAAATCTTGGCCTTTTCCCCAGTTTTTCACCATTTGGCTGCAGAAGACACCCTTGGGCAACAGGAAATCAAAATTGTGGAATCCCTGAAGTTGGAAAAGACCTTGTCCTGGTTCAGGGCAAATTTGGGAAAGAACTCCCAAAGGAGTTCCTCTGGACAGCAGATTCAATCGGCCCCTCCCCCAACTGGTTCAGGAAAAATAAAATACTTCCTTGGAGAAAAGTGGAAAAAACTGTTTATTAAACAATAAAACCTAAATAATATTAAACAATAAAACCTCTTGTTTCTCTAAAAGACAGACAAACTCACAAAGTCCCTCTGTGGGCTGTAGCTCAGCTCACTCAGTCTCTGATCAGTCCCTCTGGTGCTGGAAATGCCGCAGCCCAGGCCTGGCCCAGTGGGCAACAGGTGTGAGCTGCCCGTGCTCCTCTGGTGTTCAGGCCAGAGCAGGTTTGAACAGGTCCAAAGAAAAGGGAAAAAACCCCACAGTTCAGGGAACTTTGGTTCAGCTAGCTAAAACTAACTAAAAGCAAAGGAGAGCTCTGTCCCGCTGTCTGTCCTTCCGCAGACAACACAGTGCAGGAGCAGGATTGTGGAGGAGTGAGTGCAGTGTCTAAAACAAACTCCACACTTCTTCTCTCCCCCCTTCACTCTCAGGACAAGTCTTGAAGGTGCAAAACTTCTTATTCAGCACAAACAGAACAGACTGGGGACACAAGCATCTTATAGTCGACACAGAATATACCTCAGGGACCATTCAGTACTCCCTGATGTCACCAGAAGACAGGACTGAATGCAAAAGATTTTATGGGGTTGAAATTTGACAAATCTCTTCTCCCCAAGGAATTCCCATTGTAGGTCTGCATCCTGATGGATGTTCCTGCTGCTGGGTTTATCTAGGTGCCCACAGGGAACCAGGAAGATGTGGAGCCCCCCAGCCCGATGCCTTCCAACTTGGATCACCAGGACCACAGATCACCAGGGCTCTGACAAACGAGGGTCACTGGGGATCATCCAATGTGGATCCTCCCATGGGGGATGGAGCTGGAGCAGCACACAAAGCTCTTCCCACACTCAGGGCACTCACAGGGCTTCCCTTAGTGGCGCCTCCGTTGATGTTTGGTCAAGATTGAGCTCGATGAGAATCTCATCCCACACTCCCAACACTCGTAGGGCCTCTCCCCCGTGTGGATGCGCCGGTGCAGGGTGAGGTGGGAGTTTAGCTTGAATCCCTTCCCACAGTCAGGGCAGCGGAAGGGCCCCTCCTAGCTGTGACTCCGCTCATGTTTGAGGAGATCGGAGCTCCTGTGAAACCTCTTCCCACACTGGGGACACTTGTAGGGCTTCTCCCCAGAGTGAACACGCTGGTGGTGTTTTCTCAGGTCAGTGTGCCACCCATAGCTCTTCCCACATTCCAAGCAGGTGTAGGGCCGTTCCCCTGAGTGGATCATCTGGTGCCGAATCAGGGCCCAGCTTTCTCTGAAGCTCCTCCCACATTCCCCACACTTGTAGGGCTTTTCCCCAGTGTGGATCTTCTGGTGTTCCGTCAGCTTGCACTTGATGCTGAAGCTCTTCCCACACTCCCCACACTCAAAGGGCTTTTCCCCAGTGTGGATCCTCTCATGTCTCCTCAGGCCAGAGCTCTGGCTGAAGCTCTTCCCACATTCCACACACTCATAGGGCTTTCCTCCTGTGTGGATCCTCTGGTGTTGCATCAGGTGGCCCTTCTGGCTGAAGCTCATCCCACATTCCCCACACTCGTAAGGGCGGTCTCCAGTGTGGATCATCTGGTGTTGCATCAGGCTCCCCCTCTGGCTGAAGCTCTTCCCACACTCCTCACACTCAAAGCGCCTCTCCCCAGTGTGGATCCTCTGGTGCCGCGTCAGGCTGGAGCTCCAGCTGAAATGCTTCCCACATTCCTCACATTCATAGGGCCGTTCCCCAGTGTGGATCACCTTGTGCTCGATCAGGTGCAAGCTCCGACTAAAACCCTTCCCACATTCCAAGCACTTGTGGGGCTTCTCTCTGCCATGGGGCTTCTCCACCAGCTCTGAGCTCTGGCTGCATCTCCGGCTGCCTTCCTTGCTCAGGGGGGCTCTTCCCTCCCCGCAGCTCCCTGGGCTGGGTTTGCTGCCCCTCCTTGTGCAGAATCTCCAGGGCTTTTCTTCCTCCTCCATCCACACATGTGCTAGGAATGAAAAATCCTGGAATGGGTAAAAAACAAAATGAGAGTGTCTTGGACTGGGAGTTCCTACTTGCTCAAGTTTATCTCAGGAAGTCATTGGGAATCTTGTGTATGTAAGAACCTCCAAAACACCAAGATTCAGCACAAAATCCTCCAAACATCAAGACACAGATCAAAAACTTCCCAAACATCAAGATTCAACAAAGCCCCCTCCAAAATATAAAGATTCAGCCCCCACAAAAAAACAAAGCACCAACAATTAGGCCAATAAAGCTCAGAAATACCAAGATTCACCCCGGGAAAATCGTGGATCCCAATCCCTGGTCACCTGCTGCATGTGGAGGGGGGGCAACGCTCCTGGGGTTGGGGTTGGAGGCTGCAGATAGAGGGAGAGTGGAACTTCGTGCTACTTCTTCTTCTGTTCCTCCTCCTGGGTCCCTACTCTTGCTCACACTCCTCTTCCTCCTGCTATTCCTCCTTCTCCTGCACAATGTCACCTTCTCCTCTCACGTGCATCGTTTGACCCTTTTGTTCCTCAACCCTGCTTCTCCTTCCCTTCTCCTCCTGCCCCAGGCCAAGGAGCGTTGCCCCCCCTCCGTTGCCTCACCGCGCTCCGGCCGCTGCCGCCACTCGCGGGCCCGCACACACACTCCGACAATGGCGCCGCTGCCCAGCCACGGCCGCCCTCAGCCCGCCACCGGGGCCCTGCTCCGCCCCTCTCCCACCAATCAGCGCGCCACAACCACGACTGACGGCACCATCGCCCAATCCCAGCCAGGGGCGGGCTCTGCACACGGCACAGCCCCGCCCCGCGCTCTCCGGGCCCCCCGGGCTGCGTGAGGGCAGAGCCGGAGCTGAGGAACAGCCCTGGAACGGGCCCGGGCCCAAGGAGGATTGAGCTGAAAACACAAACAAACTTCTCCGCACCTCCCGTCACGGCTTTCCCGGCACTGCGGCTCCGGTGGCTCCGGCTCAGCGGGAAGCCCTGGAGCCTCACTTCTCCTACCCCTAATTAGGAGCATCAGTGCATCGCTTTGATTTCCCCTAGAAATGGGAAACCGCCCCAAAGCCCTGTGGATGAGTGGGGGAGGGGAGAGATTTCGGACAGAAAACTCCAAAAACTCAGAGCAGGATAATGAGAAATAAGTGAAGAGCCTTAAATGCAGCTTTCCCCCACGCCTCCCTCCTTCCAGCTGCACCTCCTACCCCGGCAGTGCCGCAGACAGGGAATGGGGCCGGGCTCAGTTCATGCCCCAGGGCTTCTCCCTCTGCTCAGGGACAGGAGTCGTTCCCCTGCTGCACCCTGGGCTCTCTCCCACCAGAGACTTCTCCAGGAACTTCTCCAAGCTGAGTCCATCCCATGGGGCACAGCCCCCTCCAAGTGCTGCAGCGTGGGTTACTCTGCCCCAGTTTCTCAGTGCTAAACTTAAGGGACTGTCTCTCGGGATATTACCACTACAGCACTCGCAGCAGAATATACACACGGAATTTTAACAGTTCTGAGCAGAAATTAAAAGAACCAACGAGAGAGAGAAAGAGCGAGATTCCGATCGCGGCGCTCCGGAGCGGCGGGGCGGGAACGATCCCTGCGCCAGCACTGCCGGCCCCAGGCCAAGCCCAGCCCCGCAATCCAACCCCGCTGCTCACAGCGCCCGCCCTCCCCGGCCCGGGGCACAGCGAGTCCCGCACCCGCTGCGCTCCCGAGCACAAAACGCCCCTTCCCACCGCGCTCGCCCGATAAACACAGCGCCCCTGCAGCTGCTCACGCCTCTCTCGCTCCTCCCGAGCTTCTCGGCCTCCCGCACCCTCTGCCCCGCACCTGGGCCCCGCCAGTGCCGCGGGCTGGGGGCAGCAGCTGCACCTTCCTCTGCCTCTGCTCCAGCCCTGCCCAGGTGCCTCGGCTCCCTTCGTGCTCGCCACAAACTGAGGCCTTCACAAGGCTGACCTAGAACAGAGGCCAGACACGGTTACACAATAAAGCAGGCATTTGTTAAAAGGCCTCGATGGATACACCTTGGGCAGAACAAGAGCCCAGCCAGGGCTACGCCCAAGATGAACCAAAATGGCCACAAAATGGACGGCCGGTCACGAGGTCTGTCACTTCTATAAGTTCTGCTCCATTTGCATATTGGAGTTAATTGTCCAATTATGTCTTTAGATGATGAAGTCCCATCCTTCTTGTTTTTCTCTCTTCAGTGCCCGTTGTTTATGCTCTTGGGCCTGAAGTTTGGATCATTTGTCCTTGCGTTCCCAGCTGGAAAGGAATTGTTTTGTCTCCCTGCTCTGTGAACAGAGCTCAGCATCCCTTAATATGAAGCCCAGACCCTCAGAGTAAAGCAGCACAGAATCTGAAAAACAGAAAAGCCAAAACCTGAGGCATCAAATCCATGAGAGCCCCGCACACACTCACCACGCCTCCCCCTCGGCATCCCCCAGGCCCTCCCCATTGATTGAAGCCCCCAAAATGCTCCCAGGCCCGAGCCCCTCAGCCCCCCTGAACCCCCGGCCGGTGTTCTCACCTGGGAAACCCCAAATCTTTGGGAATTCTCAACTGGGATTACCCAATTCCCTGGAAACCTCACCTGGGACCCCCAAAACTTCACCTGGGAGCTCCAAACCTTCCAGGATCCCCCCAACCCCCCCAGGACCCTCCAAACTTTATCTGGGATTCCCTCAAACTCCCCCGAGAGCCCCCAAACTCCACCTGGGATCCCCCAAACCCCCCAAAACACCGGTGACAGTGGGACAGAACTGGTGGCACTGGTTTGGTGACACTGGAATGAAGCTGGGGACACCGGGTTGGTGGCACTGGAATGATGACACAGGGGTGGTGGCACTGGGACAGCCTTAGGGACACTGGGGTGGTGACAGTGGGACAGAACTGGTGACACTGGGGTGGAATTGGTGGCACTGGGCTGGTGGCACTGGGATGGAACTGGGGACACTGGGACAGGACTGGTGGCAGTGGCACAGGGATACGGGGATTGAACAACTGGCACTGGGCTGGTGGCACTGCCGTGTCCCTGGTGCCACCTGTCCAGTGTCCCCATGTCCCTGCAGTGTCCCTGGGGGTGGCCGAGGATGGTCACCTGCTGCTGGCCCTGGCCATGGTGGCCATGTCCTGCAAGGTGGCCTGGCGGGATCTGAGGACATTGCAGCATCACCTGGCCACCAGCGGGGCCACCAGCGGGACATGGCCCTGCGCCTGCATGACCGCGCCCGGCGGGTGGCGGCCACCAGGGCCAGCGCCGAGGCCACCGCGGATGTGCTGGGGCAGCTGGAGGAGGTGATGCTGGCGCTGGGGACGTTGGTGGCCGCTGTCACCCGGGACAGGGAGGTGACGCCATGGGGGACAAAGGGGACAGGGCTTCCTCAGCGCTGCCCAGGTCCTCGGGGACATCGTGGTGGCCTTGGGGACACCGGGGGAAGGGCACAAGGAGGTGACACGGAGGCTGGAGGTGGCCCAGGGGGCACTGGCAGGGCAGGGGTAGGGACAGGGTGGGGACACGTGGGTGGCACTGTCACCGCCGGGGCACGGGGACACCCTGAGGGACATTGGGGACCTTAGGGACACCCCTGTGTCCTTCCCTTGGAGACACCAGGACCCATTTGACGTCCCCTGTCCCGTTTTGGGTCACCACAATGTCCCTGATGTCCCCGCAGTGTCCCCAACAGGACATCGGGGGACACTTGGGCCTTGTTCAGGACGCTGAGGAGACATCAGGGCCATGTGGGGACACTCAGGGGACATTGGGGTCTCGTTGGGGACATCGGCGGGACATTGGGGACCCCGCCCTGGCCCTGCGGGCGGGGGGCGGTGCTGCGGGGTGACCTCACCTTTCTCTCGCCCCTCCCCACCCCCCCGACCACCCCATTCGGGCGAGTCTCTGACTGTCACTCGGGTGTGTTCACTCCCCGGAGTGTCACCAAAGTGTCACCAGAGTGTCTCCAAGGCGTCCCCGGCGTGTCCCCCAGCAGCCATGGAGCCCCGTGAGGTGCGACAATCCTGGCACGGGGGCGGGAGGGACACAGGGGACACAGGGGGTGGCGGGAGGGGCCGGGGGTGCCAGAGGGGACCAAGGTGGTGGGGGGGCAGGAGGGGAGAGGGGTTCACAAGGGGGACAGGAGGGTGTGGCAGGAAGGGGGGATGTGACAGAGGGGTGGAGGGGACTGAGGGTGGTGGGGTTGGGGGGACAGTGGGGGACAGGGTGTGGCAGAGGGGACGAGGGGGTAACAAAGGGACAGAGGGGACAGCAGAGCCCTCCAGGGAGGGGACGAATGGGACCCTGGGAGGGCACAAAGGCACCACCACAGGAGGCCACAAGAGCCACCAGGTCCCTGACACCTCCCCTGTCCCTCCTCAGCTGTTCCCATCCCTGCTGGAGTCGCTGGTCACCGTGGTGGCCACCCTGAACAAGGTGGCAGACACCACGGCCCTGCTGGAAAAAATCGATGAGGTGCTGGATGTGCCCCCCGAGTGCCTGCACGCAGGCCTGGAGGGCTTCGCCAATCGCCTCCAGAACACCCTGGACCACGGTGGCGTCACCTGGTGGCACCGTGGTGTCACCTTCGAGTGCAAGTACACTCTCACCTCCCTGGGCCAGGCCCTGGCCGCCTATGAGAGCACTCCATGGACCACCTGGGCCCAGGTGACGAGGGTGGCCAGGGCCTGGCAGAAGTCGGTGGCCACACTCGTGGACAGCTGGTTCCAGCTGCTGGGGAAGGCCACCGAGCTCCGGGACGCCTGCAGGGACGTGGTCGCCGGTGAGGGCACCACTGCGGCCATAGAAGATGCTATGGGAAAGGCCGAGGTGGACAGCAGTGAGGAGGAGGAGGAGGCCACCAAAATGAGAG